TATTGCATTGACAAAAAAATGTTTCATCAAAAGTTTAATTATCCAGAGTGAAAGGAATTTGCTTTCTGGAGGGAGATGACCATGTCAAATGTATCAACGCTCATAGCACACCATGCTTAACTCCAGTCATCTTAATCAGGCTAGAGGCAGAAACCAATAAAGACATTTACTTCAGAAGGCACAAAACTATCTGCATGATAGGAAAGTGACATATTGCCCTTTTTTTGTCATTTCAAGGAACAAGTCCTTCAAGATATTCATTGAAGGAGATATAAGATAACACAAGAACAAAGAAACATTTCAGCTCGTGAGCTGGGACGAAAATGTAACTGGAAAGATAGACAGAAAAAATACATTTTGTAGATGTCACAGCTCATTTTTATGAACCATGAACATAAAATGAGAAGTCTAAAAAGCGGAGGCATTCAGATTTGAATGCAAGAGTTGAACATTAGCAATAGCTAGAAAACTGTGCAACACATCATTTTCTAGTTATGTACTAGAACTGTGCAACATAACAGTCCATATCAAATAAATAAATTCAATTCAATTCAAAGTCTGATTGCCATTGTTGACAACAGAAATTAATCATAAGATTGACCAATGGGAGAAGTCCATTTCAGGTTTTAATTAGCTAATGAGCAAATTGGCTGAAAGACATTCTACAGTACTGTGTTGAGCTACATTTTGCACCTTGACTGTCTGGAGCAGACTGACACAAATAACTGTTTTTCTTTGACATAAGGTGCAAAAAACTTTGTACATCTTTTATTAAGTTAAACGAAAATACAAAAAACATCCAAGCACGAGAACAAAACAACTCAGCACGGATGGGAGCACAGATTGAACAATGTAATATCATCGCCCCATGTTTCCTTTTATTCTCTAACCAAGAAAAGAAACTGTCCATCCTATGAACCCCATGTAGTTAGAAGCAATTTCCCTGTGTAATTGCTACACTTAACATATGCAGATGGAGACATGAGGAAGACTGAAAACAAAATTGCAGGGTCTAAGTGCTATTATGTGGGAGGTATAGGTGGCAGAGACTGCAATTACTTTCCCATTTTGAGAGAGGACATGTTTCTTACAGGCTGGATACGATCGCTGGGCAGATTAATTGTAGCTGTGAGTATTTGTTTGGAGTGTGCAAACTTTCTTTTTTTAAGTTTTAATCTACAGGACTACACTCTAGCTGTATCATGTTAATTACAACAAACAAAAAAAGTTTGTAAGACGTGGGCAGCACATTTCCAAAGTTATTCAATACCCTACCATAGAGAGCCATTAGTGGAACATAGGCATTTACTTATGAAGCTTCTGTTTGTCCTAATTCCTGGAAAGGATAAAGGTATTTCCAAGGTAATGGTGCACTCATAAATCTTCTTAGGTAAAGTAGGAGGAGGGGGGTTGTTGTTTCGGTTTACAGGATGCAAACTTCCCTCTCAATGACCTTGTCTTAACCAGCAGCAGGCTGAAAACTAGAACTTTACAAAGTGTTGCTCTGTTTCTGATTAAAGGGTAAAAAGCACTTGCTTGAGAATTTGCATGTGTGCTGTGACTTCCTTCACTTCACCCTTAGTCATGTGACCTGTTGCAATTATAAAAACACTCAGCTCTGGCTCAGTGGTAGAGCTGGTTGTCTGTCAACCAGGAGGTTGGGGGTTGGATCCCCAACTCCTGCATTCACATGTCGAAGCATACTTGGGCAATGTGCTCTATAAAATGTGCTCTATAAATAAACTTGCCTTGCCTCATCTATTGTTGGCATAGTCCTGAAGAGGTAGTGTAGTAAAAACACACAATATGTGTAGTTAAGATTAAAAGCCCCTCAAAGTGTAACCCACTTTGGCCTCCTAGGTTTCCATATGATTTTAAATAATTTTCTAGAAAGTGTTGTTCATCCTCCTTTATATATATGACTATGATTAAAAGCTGTCATACAAGCAGATGTGAATCAGGTTAATGCATTATCAATACCGAGATTGAAAAGTTAATGGATGACATCGACTGAGCCAAGGTTACTATGGAAACCGGTGGGAGCTAAGAGGGCTACATAGGGCAAAAACAAGCTAAACAGAGTATGTTATTAAAATATGTGGGATACCGTGGGGTATTAAATCGAACTAATATGATATGTGACAACCTGGCCACGTGATTGACTATCAAAATACACGACAATATGTTATCAAGGCCTACACTGGAGGATGAGAATCTCTCCACTTCCTGGAGAGAAGCCGACAAGCTAGCGAGGGTCAGTTGCATCCTTCTTAACGCTGCAGCAGCTGGATGTTCCGTTTCGCTCACTAACACGACGAGCGCAGCAGATGAAGGAAAAACAGACTGAATCACTTACGAGAGGAGGATTTCTCTTATCTGCTGGCGTCTCGTCCTGTCCTGTACATCAGCTGTGTGTTGTTTTTTTTCCGGGTTTTGCTGCTTGGGTCGTGTGTGGGGAGAGAGAGAGAGAGAGAGAGAGAGAGAGAGAGAGAGAGAGAGAGAGAGAGAGAGTGGGCCGCGCGCAGGTTGCAATCACATCAACAGCAACCAGCGGAGGCGCGCAGCCGTCACCATGGCAACAGCCGAGGGTCCTGAAAATTTGCTGCATCACGACAGTTTCCCACCTTCGTTTGCCTGTTTGCCCCATATGGCAATACATGAGACAAATGTAAATTGTTGCAGAATTCCACTTTGTTACAGATAAAAACTTATTGAATTTTAATAAAAAAAAATAAAAAAAACAGGAGTCAGGATCAGATTTAGGTTTATTGCCAAGTAAGTTTACATATAGGGCCTATAAAAAAATGTGCCTTGGTGTTTTGGTGCAAAAAAACAATGAACACAGAAGTAGCCTACAATATAAAAAAATATCAAACAGCAAGAAACTTAAATCTCATAAGATCAAAAATATAAAAAAATCTGCAAAACATGTCAAATAGGTGCAATGGAAGAGCTTACAGGTAGCAATTTAGCTCACTATAGCAAAATAAATATGCAAAAATATATGAAAACAGTCTGCCATGTAAACAGACATAACTCAGTTAAATGTATACAGTGAGAGGGTGGAGGGCAGGGCATTTTCTGATAATAATATTGATCATTTCATGTCTTTTAATTCATGCTCTCCAGTCATGAGAGGCCTGTTTTGTTTTGCTCCTTTTAATTATCATTTAAAGCTCCTGTGAGGACCTTTCAACTTCTTTCTTTTTTGGCAACCTCTGTGGACAAAGAGTGAGTCTAATCGCTTTACTGATCGACTCCCATATGTAAGAAGTGTTTTCTGACAATACAATTATTTTCTTTCTCTATTGCCAATGTATAGCCTAAAGTAGAACACACACTGGATCTAACCAATATAAGATGAGAACTAAATGAAAAGTGTTCTGGCATAAGAAGCCGCTCTAGACCAGGAAATTGTACCCTTGAAAAGATGAGGTACATTATTTACTTCTCTACCGTTGTTGCTTACGAGCATGGTGCTGTTACAAAAGATGAATAATTTTCAACTGAGAGGGTTGTGACATAAAATAACTGACGCTGAGGGCTTTTTTTGTGGTCAGGATGCTGAGAGCTGAAGACGCTGAATTGCATTGGTTGCTTTGCCAAAAAAAGTGGACACAGGCCCTTAAAAGGATATTTCCACAGAGTGATGTTAATCTCCTTGTCTGATACCTACTCTGAAATAATCCATCATGTTGATTGTGAACTCATTTGCTTATAGAGGTCATATTGAGGAAACCGTATTAATTTCAGCCTGTTTCATTACCAGTTAAAACTCCTCTCAAGTAGCTTTAAGTTAGCAGGTGACAAAAAGCATTAATTTTTATGCATGCCTTTGATTGAAGTCCCCTTAAATTATTGAGCTGGTACGGTGCTGTCAGGTCAACTCAGAACACTGCAGAGCTCCTGTGGGATGAGCGGTGCATGTTGAAATTTCCACTTCAGCCTGCTGTTTGTCCTTGACATAAGCTTTGCCTTGCTTTGGCCAAGGCTTGTGTCATTCTCTCAAAATGCTGCTAGGCAGAGATCAAAATGTGCAGGCCATGTGCACATAGATGCTAAACGTCTTAAAAACATGACATTGTTTGATTTGCATATTCTGTTTAAAGTTTAGTTTTACTTTTGCCATTTAAAAAATTTGAATTAATTTTGAATTGTTTCTGCAGACTAAATTTGTATTATTCAACAGCAAACATCTTTATTTCCCTGGCCAATCAAATCTGAAAAACACTTTGAGTGATAGCTAAAATGTGGGAACAATATGGAAAGTGTTTAATCCAGGAAAATAAAATAAGATTAACCTAGATTTAACCCACAACAGAGAAATGTTAAGTGTTTAAAGCTCCTATGTGCAGTTTTTTAACTGGTTATGAAACAGACTGAAATGATTACTAATGCTTCTATATGATCTACAAAAGCAAATAAGATAATCAGCAACAAGACTGATTCTTTCTTTATTGTTATTATTACAACTGAAAAGTTAGGGTGAGACAGCATTATCAGCATGGCGACCACCATCAACAGGCTACCAAAACCCCCTGAAGTAACAGATGGGTGACGTCACCTTAAATATTTACAATCTATGGTTCTAGCTCAGTTTTGACCTCACATGAGTCACCATTTTAACCAAAGTCCCAGCAAGTGATGACATGATCCTGAACACATAGCATCTAAATAGGATGCAGCCATCATTATCCAATGTTCACAACTGTGCTCTTGTTATTTGGGTCATTTGTTAAATGTCCTCAAAGAAAAGGTCATTTCAAGTTCTAGAGTAATTTGGTTCTTATTTACGATTAACAGCATCAAATGGAAAAATAGAAGCAAAGCTCCAACACCAAAGAGACATCATCTGGAAAAAGTTGGGAACAAAACATATAAAAAAATCTTTCTGTTTCTAATTACATCTCAAACTGGTGACTTAACTTTTCATTTTGGCAGTTTTCCCCACTGCAGCTCGGGCCCAGAACTGTGTCTGAGAGTCAGGACTAATCAAAGGCACTTGTATGGAGAGGACTGTTGGCCTCTGAAGGGATAGAGCTGTTCAGGCCCAGCCTGCTGCTCCTTCTCTGCTTCTCTCCTTTTTTCTTTTCCTCTCTCACTCTCTCTTCCTGTCCTGTCTGTTTAAGGGGAGAAAGATTGGGCAAATTCCTTCAAGCTACTTTACTTCAGGTTTCTGTGGGATTTAAACATGCACACTGAAGTTTTGGTACAGTCCATGTTGGTGCCGTTGTTTCTCATTCTGCTCTCTACCGTGGAGGACACTTTGTTACAGTCGGTGAGGTGAGTTGTTTTTTCTTGTTTATTTTTGGGGTAGTGTAGGGGAGCAAGGAGGAAGAGGGAGGTGCACAGTTTTGCTGACAAAGACAACAGTTGGAGAGAACAATGTGGGAAAGTTTGAGCCTATACATGTAGTCTGCTTCTGCAGTTGTTTCTTGCGGTTTCTTTACACTTCTTGTCTTGCCAATAAGTCTGCATGGGGGGGGGGGGGGGTCTGCTTTTTCTCCCCCAATATTCATCAGAACATTCGATTTCATCTGCTTTTATTTGGACCACTTCAGCTGACAGGAATTAACATAACTTTATGACAGCTTGTGTGATCGGGGATTTGAAGCTTCACTGACATTTTGGCTGGATTAAAGGTTTTTTGCGAAAAAATAATTATGCAAAAATATCAAGTAAAGATATAAGCCAATAACAATAAAGCATTTAAGTGACTGCAAAGAGTAACCCTTTCTGCAGTATATGATCATATTGTTCTGTTTTTTTAAGTAATTTTTACGAGTGAAATAACCTCAAATGATCTTACACATTTTAAGTTTTTAAGTTTTACATTTAGATGAAAACAAGTGTGGAAAAACAACATAGAGTAAAATACGGCTGTTAAAGACTGAATTCTGTTTACCGCGGCCCTTTAAAGGAGCGCCTCAGTCAGCAGGACTGTAAATGTTCCATATGATTCTAACTTAACTCAGCTGCAGAAGGAGACGGGGTGTTTACTTCAAGCAGGTGCAGCGTGGCTGTGCAGTGATTACATTGTGTATGTCAGAGTGTACAGTGCATAGCATTTATTTGACAGCAGTGGCAAACCCATGCACGCTGTAGCATGGAAAGCTGATAATCCAGCTAATTACGGTGTTTTCAATTGTTTTCCCAATGAATCCAAATAGTTTTCCACCTTGTATGTTTACCGGTTGTATTATGCCATCATTCAATCTTACACTGTGAAAGGTTGGGTGTGAAACAAGCAAAAATTAAATGTTATGGCCTTTCTTTGTATAGACAACACTCAAGCAAAACAACATCCGAAATGTCAACATCAATAAGGTTCTGCACCACCTGTTCTCTTAAGACCTCCAATACATAACCTTTATTCATCTTTATAGCAGCGCTGCCCCCTTATGGGCCGTAAAGTTCAGCAGACAAAAGCCCACAGGTATAACAACAGGTTGTGAAGCAATTTTGGCACAGGGGTAAAAATCCAAATTGGCAGTGACATGATGCAATTGGAGCCCAGAGAGATTTTAACCCAAACACAAGCATGACAAAAAAAGCCCTAAAACAGTCAAAAGGGGCACCAGTTTAGCTCAGTAGTTAAAGTGTGGGGGAAACTAAACAGGCTATATTCCGCGTCGCAACGGCTGTGGATTCAAATCTGAACTTGGCCTTGTACTCTCTCTCCTCCCAATGTTCCCAATCTCTCTTCCACTGTCTTTCACAAAAAGGCAAAAAATCGGCCAAAATATGAATAAAAACAATCAAAACATTTTTGACCTGAGGACTGTGATGTGGGTATTTGATTTCCATTAAAGTGAATTAACAGTATTACTCGTTACAACATAAGTTTCAACTTAAAACAGGCATCTTCTCAAATTGCACTTGTACATTTAAAAGACCCCCGATTTGTTCCTGTTTAGTCTGAAAATAGTTTACTATCCCCTCCTAAGATATTTTGATTGGATTAGAATCATGAATTTCCTGCAAATGATTGGCTCTGATAGCGTACTAGAACAAACATGCATGTTTTAGTTCAGACGGCTGTGAGCTTTTTCGTCGCTGGTTTTGTTTATTGATTTGTTGTTGGATTCAAATTCCATTCCAGGCCTCTACAGCGTGGCATTGACATCAAAAACATCTGCTTCTTCCATTCTCACAGAGGCTGTCTGTTCCAATACCAGAGCACACATGGGGCAGACAGATACTACGCCATTTTTTCTTGTTTCCCAAGATGGAGAAATAAAATGCATTGGGATTCACTGAGCTGGACATAAAAGCACACCTGTTTTTTTTTTGTTGAAAAATAGTATCCGAGGGAAATCTCTTCTATGGGCTCTAAAATCCCAGAGTCCCGGAGGAGGCACATCACTGGGGAAGTGACAGGGCGCGCAGATGCTTTACTCGAGCTGGAAAGGTCTGAGACCACATGATGAAATACAAACGTGTTGTTGAAACATAAGTGCCAGATTTGGAAAAAACATAAGGCTGACATGCCCGATTCCAGTTTATGATGTGCTGCAGCAGTGGAAACTTTTTTTTGTTTTTACACTAAAAACAAATGGCACGAGAAGATGGCCAATCAGATATTTGTGCATATAGTTACAGAACACACAATTAAATTATGTCACAATTTGTTCTATGATGATGTCAACATGCCAGACTTTATTTTTAGCTTTACTAAAAAAAAGAAAAGCTGCAGTACGCCAAAAGCAGAAGAGATTAAAGATTAATATTGAGCCATCATTTCTGAATACAGGTCTTTATAGCAAAAGTGTTGAAACCTGAATTAAGGATACTCTTCAATATCATTTACTGTTGTCTTCTGGATTGCATTTCTCTGTCAAGACCAAGTCCCATGCTGCTGAGGTTGAGTCAAGGAAAGAACCCTGCAGACCAAACAACCCTGACAGCAGCAGAACTGAAACAGGCTCACAGTAGACGTAACACTTACATCTACTGGGTGTACAGGGCAGCAAGCAAGATGGGGCAGTGTGAATTAGTTGAAGGCAAAGACAAAAAGTTACAGTAATGAGTGTTTAGTAAGCAAGAAATAAGTTAAATCTCAATTTACAACTCAGAGGGAAATGTTTTGAAAAGTAATTGTTGTTTCTTTAGAAGCTAGTTAAGTAAAACTTAAAGCTACTGTGGGGAGTTTCTAGCTGGTAATGAAACAGACTGAAAATAATACTGATGCTTCTGTATGGCATCTTGAAACTGAGAAGACCATAAGAAACAAAATAGATTATTTCTGTGTGTTTATTTTATTTGCCTGTCATCGCTACTGTAGGGTAGGTGTCAGACAAGTCAATTCACAGCTCACTGGCAAAACAGCCTGTTTTCCAGCGCAAAAGATCGCCCGGGACTTGCATGATAGACACTTTTTGTACATACAGGAAGAGCTCAGCAAAAAGATCAGAACTACCTTTTTGCCACAGTCGTTGAAAATGAGATGACCTGAGAGTCCCTCACAGGAGCGTTATCTTCATTTATAAACGTTTTATGAGAAATAAAATAAATTTACAATTTACAATGTGTCCTTGGCAATGAAATTGTTTTGTTTGCCAATTTAGAATAAATGTTTGAATATGAATTTAAATTGGTGTCTATTTTGAACTGATGCATGGAACTTGTGCTGAAGTATATTAAACATGTCTATTGGCCAGTCTCAATCTGGGGATGTCTTTCAGATATGCAAACAAAACTTGCATGAACATATTTATCTTAGCAAATGTATTTTACTTCCATAAAATGTGTTGGTGGTTTTGCTCTCAATCTGTTTATTTTAACGTAATGTGCAATGTTTTGTTCCTGAACATATTCAATTTGATTGCCCTTTTTTTAATGGTTTCTATGTTATATAATACCAGACTCAATTGGGATATGCTTGCCCTTCAAGAGGTCAAGAGGTCAATACTACTTTGTTGTTATAAGAATGAATTATGGCTCACCCAAGTATGGATGCAGTTAACAAAGGAGCGTAGTGAAGCCAGTACAGGCTTTTACTGGGTGAAGTGTGAAATAAAACTTGAATAACCTCCAAATGACACATGGGTCACACACATTCTGAACATATTACGATGGGAGTGTCGGTAACTCTAGACCCATTGATTGTTTGAAATATGTCTACTGTTTCCAAACTGGCCAGTCTGGGAGGGCAGGAATAGAACAAGAATGTCAGACAGCGTCCAAATGAAACAAATCTCACAGAGGGATCCCGAAGAAGAAAGACGGAGCTCAGAAACAGCTGCTTGGGTGTGAGCTCAATGAAAAGGAAACTGAGTTATTTCAAAAGTTTGATTTATTCGTTGAATCCCTTCTATTTATTTATTTTTTGTTTGCGATAAGTTCGTTTTTTCTTTGTGTGACCCAAAATGACTCGCTGAGATCTTACAAGTTGCATTCCTAGCATTCTTCCCACTAGTTCTCCACTTCAGGATGATACAGCAAAATACCATCAAATAGCATGGAAGTTGAGGTTTGGATTACGGAAAGATTGGTGATGGAAAATTCATATCAGCAAAGCAATGAGCCTGGTGCACCTGGAAACTAAACTCTATTTATGTGTCAGTATATTATGAATGCAAAGACATCAATACAACAGCATGGACGGTTAGCCAATGCATCCTGCTAGTACAATTTATTTATGTATAATTGTCAAATTGGTTCACATGGCGTAACTTCAGTTGGTGAAAAGTGCTGAAGTCAACTTGGGCAGTCAGTTGATATATTTATCCAACATACACACAACTAGCATCTGGAAGAGTGATGTTTGGTTCCCATTTTAAACAAATACTGAAAATTTACTTCAGGAACGAGCTGACTTCTTTAAATAACATGACAGACTACATGGTGATACCCAACCAATCGTAACAACCAATGTGATGACACTGGAAGTAAGAGGGGCTGGGCTAGAAGACACCCAGAAGAAGACTGTTAACAATTAATTGCATGTCTTGGTAATCCCTCGACGACAAATCATAAAGGCAGTGATGTTGTTCACAGAGCTCTCTGTGCTCTCATTGGTCCACGTCACTGTCGTTATGGAACACGGCATAAAAGGCAGGAAAAAAAAATCAGACATCAACTTCTGATGGGAGGTCGTGAGGCATCCCAGTTTTGGGGCTGACGGATCCTGAAGGCCTTCGTCTGCCAGATCGGTCCGTAACCATGCTTACAATCTAATGTTTAGTCTGAACTTGGCATAAGTAACAAAACAAACAACATATGTTAGCACTTTATTGAAGCCTAGCCATGATCTTTTTACTAAACCCAACCATGTCATTTTTTTAATGAGTCTCTGAAGGCCCGTGTAAGAAAATAAAACAGCCTAACACATCCATACCCAGGGTTAAGAAATCCTGGAGCAGAGAATTATGAACTTTATTTATTTTAACTGGAAATTGCTTAATTTTGATTATCAGATTTAAAAAAGGTAATATTTTCTAAGGCTAAACATGCAAATGTATTGCCAACTTGACTGCATAGCCCTGCCAAATGGATGTAACGGTGTAACCAAGATCGTCATACGTTGAAGCTTTGGACTACAGACAAAGCCTGGTGTATTAGGTGTAAGAAATGATGAATGGATTTTCTTATACTATCAATATCATACATACCAAACAACCTGGCTGAGTCATCTTTGATGTTTAAAGGTAGACATGTGGGTTCAACATCTGGGCAAAACTGTTTCCACTCACATGTGGTCTTTGTATTGAAAACAGACACAGATGGCAGCACATTTGACCCTTGACTTTAAGTTTTCCAAAGCTGCGTTACAACTGACCTTCTCTCTTTTTCCCAGCCAGGTGGGTGGTGAGTGTAGGCTGTCCGCGGAGTCATCCCTGCGCCGCTGCCGGACACCTAATGGCAAGATCTGCAGTGGGCGGGGCCAATGTGACTGCGGCATCTGCATCTGCGAAGCAAGAGATCCAGGGAAGTTCTTTGGACCACACTGCGAGTGCCATGACTGGGTGTGTGCCACATATAACGGGAAAACGTGCAATGGTGCGTATGATTATAAGTGTGATACACAAAACAGAGGTTGATGGTTACTGGAGCTTGTTCTTTTATTGGCATATAGTCCTATATATATAGTCCTTTTTGTCATGTTTCATGAGACTCTGAAGTAGTGCAAATGGCTCCAAGCATTTACTACTTGATACGGTTGTTAGGGATGGGTCAGTAAAAGATGCAGCAGAGCTCCTCACTGTGGGCATACATTAAAGGAGTTTGGCAAAAGGCCTCAGATGTTTACCATCTGTGTCAGACAGGTACTGAGAGAAAAATAAGAGCTTGAGAATCGTCCACAATCCTGGTATTTTTGTTAAGGCTTTTAATATCCATCCGTTTGATGTGATTTCATATAAAGAGACATGTATTGGAGTGTATTTGGAGTATATTGGTTCCCCTGTGTGTCTCTCTTCATTGCCAAATCAGAGGTGTGCATTTTGTCTTTGAAAGCAAACATCACCTTGGCAACACTTGAAAGGATTTTTGTTGGTAATAGACAGCTGGTTTGTTCAAGTAAGTTACCAAGGCATTAGCTTTTGTCGGGAGGCAGAGCTTTGAACTTTGTATGAATATTTTTACAAGTTGTAAAAGAGAACACTCGAGAGTGCAGCCACACTCAATAACAAGTTGCCTCCTGAGATACTCTCCACTTTGCACGATAATTTTCCAAGATGAAAGCAGAGCTCACAGACCAGCATGTTACAAAAGAGCAATTTCTTTCGATTTTTAAAGAAAGAAAAAAAAAAGAGTTAGATTAGTCTGTTGGTATCCTCCGAAGTCTAACTTTTTAAAGGTTTTCCCTGTTGCACACACATTTAAAAAACACACACACTTAACACATTGTGAGTCACATTCTTTGCTAACAAATTCCTTTATTTTTAGAATTGATCTCAAAACATTGGCTGCAACAAGTGTAGAATAGTAACTACAGTGTGTGCCAACATACTGAAAAAAAATAACAAGCCAATTTTAAAGAGGAAGCAATTCAAAGTTTAATTGCAACATGAAACCTCCAAATTTGTGATGTCTGGTGTACATTCATCATCAGCCACGTTTAACTGGAAGTCCATCCCCTGTTATAACTGCACCTCACTTTGGGAATCACTGATGTGTAAGGATATTTAATTGTAGACTATATAAATCTTCATTCATTGGACAGAATTGAAGCCAAAACATTTTTGCAACAGCTGGTGACAAATTGACCCTGGTGATGTCATTTGGAGCCAAGACAAGAATCCAGGTTTATTTTATTTTTTTAAACTTTACATATATTTTAAAAGTTTGCACCACGTCCCACCTGTTAACATGGAGAAGGCAGTTTGTATGACTTAAACTGCAGGTACTCAGGAGGAGGAGCTCTAAATCTTTTGGCTTCACTTTGGGAGAGGTGTTGTTTTGTCCATCTTATTATACAGTCTATGTGTAAGGAATGATTATGATGCAGGGAAACTATCAGTTGATCTTGAAGCTCCCCTAAGCTTTACGTTTTCAGAGCCAAAACTATAATGTTGTTAAATCTCACTACTTTCGTTTTCAGTAGCAGCAGCAGCCAGCTATTCTCAGCTTAAAGCTCCTGCAGAAACACATAATGTGCTACCTGCCCAGCAAGCAAAAACCCAACCTTAGCAGACAAAATTAGCAACTAACCATTGGAACATTTTAAGTAGCTAAGGAGGCAGATATTTCCCTCAGGAGCCACTGGAAGGCACAACAGAGGTAAAACGACAGTGAATATTGGCTTTATTTATCAGGTTGACCTAAACAGTGCTCCAGATGAATGCTAATGTTTTGCTACATTTCTGCTTAATGTGTAAGTAAGTAACTGTTCCTTATAAGGACTTGGGAAACCAATTTTGTAAGGGTAATACTTGTACATGTTGCATTCACAGTTTGTTGCATTAGCCATAGTGTAAAGGCTTCAATGGAGGTTTAAACTGAAGAAAACATCCACTATACCTTGATGAACTTTTGGTAACACATTTGCAGGCTGTTGTTTGTTACTCAGTTAATTGTATGGCATTGTATTGAAAGTTCTTTCAAATACTGTATTTATTTTAACTTCATGATATAAATTGTGCAACAAAAAAAAAACACACGAGATAAACACTTCTCAGAATAGTGCAGTGAAATTAAAATTCACCACAAACTACAGCCTATGACTACATTTCAATCAGCACTTTCCTCACAATTATTACAAAAAAGTAAGATACAGTGTGACTGTACAAGCTTGCATTAGTTAAAGCTAGGTTTGTCTAAACTTTACATAATCACACAGAAACAATATATGAAATCTCAGAAGTAATGAGAGAGGATGGCCACTTTATGTTGATGTAAAGAAAAAATAACCACCTGTCTTTGTGTTCTCTGTCCCCTGCAGCCACCAAGCTATGAGTGTCAGGGTTTAATGGAGATATGTGTGCATCCAGAACAGGCCTAATGGAGATATGCGTGCACGTGTGTGTGTGCGTGCATGTGAGGGGTGGAGTGATTTATTTGGGCAGACAAGTTGGCTGCTGTGAAGACCTCATTATGGTTCAGCAGTCTGGAGCGAGAAGGCCCTGTTCAGCCTGATAATAGGGTTTCACTCACTGGTACACAGGCTGCAAAATGGAACCTAGACATATCAGAAGAAGGATGGGTTTTAACACCCAGAAACACACTCTACACACAGACACACACCCAGGATCAGGCTCATTCTCAGAGAGCTACACCCGTTCATGCATACTATCATATGCCTGTGTGCATAAAAGGCCCAGCAATATATTCAAAGCATATTGAGAAAAATACCCCCCCTATACTCCCCACCCCCACCCCCACCCTCACCCCCCAGGATACTCAGCAGCCCATGCAGGATGCACGCTCTGCTGTCTGAGATCTGCAGCCAATTTCTCTCCCGCGGCTCCCTTATCTCTGCCTCTCACAACTGCCCACTGATAAGATCCGATAGATTTTTTCTCCTCGGGGATAAACTGTGTGTTTATCTTTTCCAAAAACATTAGCTTTCCTGGCATGGAGATGGTCTTATAGCTTGAATGGCATTCATCGGGCAAACATGGACTAATTCAGGGCTTTTAAATCAGAGCAACAAGTCAAGCTGGATCAAGAAGCTGGGCACATTTTGATGGCATAAAAACCTATGTGCTAAATTTATTTTCCAAATTGTCAAAATAAGATGCTGTTATGATAAATGGACTGTACTTCTATGGTGCTTTTCTAGTCTTCTAACCACTCAAAGCGTTTTTCCAATATGTTACATTCACCCTCACATATTCACACACTGATGGCAGAGGCTGGGATGTAAAGAGCCTATGAGCATGAACTAATCCCATTCATACGCAGTCACATGACACTGGCCATGCCATCAGAAGCTATTTTGGGGTTTGGTGTCTTGCCCAAGGACCCTTCCACGTTTGGACTGCAGGAGCTGGGAAAGCTTGAAAACAAAGGAATTAGCATCCTTTACATTACCCATTGGTTTGGCCAATTCATCACCCAAGGTGAGCGTTTTGCTGCCGCCATGTTGGTTTTCTCGGGCCAGAGGTGGCAATAATTCGATGAGAGGCTGGTGCTGCAGAGAAGCAAGAGATCTTCAAACACTAAGTTATCAAAGCTAATGACTCTCCAAACGTTGACAATTCATAAACTGCCATTATTTCTAATTTAGTAGTGTTTCCCACAACATAAAATTGGGTGGCTAAGAGAAGTTGTTTATTTACCAGACCAAAAATCTAAAAAAAACAAAAAAAAACTTGCTTGCCAAAATCTCCCAAAGGTTCCAATAACACAAACACTGTGGGAGGTCAAGTTCAGTGACTGAATTGGTTGTGTTGATTTCTAGCTTAAAGCCAGCAGTATCCACCTGTTAGAGTGACCGTGCTTCTAATTATGTTAAATATCATTCAAACAGATGACTCACTCAAGACCTCATCACCCACTCTGTTTATCTGCTATTAAAAAGGTGCGTTTTAATAAAGACACTTATGGAAATTGACTCACGTTTGGAGCCAGCCTCCAGTGGCCACTCAAGGAACTGCTTGTCCTTGCACTTCTGCACTGGCACTTGGTTTGAAAAAAAATCCTGTTCTTTTTTTGTAGGGATTTTCTATGATCTATCTTTTTGTCCTGCAGCCAAGACATTCAAGTCAGTGGAACATGGAAGCTCTACATTTATATATATGTCTATATAGCCTGATGAATGTATTCTGCCCAGGGTATTCTTGTCCAATGCATGCTGGGACAGAGGCATTGTATGGAAGCATATGCCACAGCTTGTCCCTGTTCTATTTAGGAATGAATGGAGGAGAATAAATAAATGTTCTTGTCATTTTATTTTGAGAAAACGCCACATACAGTATGCTTTTTTTTTTTTTTTTTAACATACTTCCTTATCCTGAACAATAATAGATGAAAGCATGTTTATCAGTTTAGACGTTGTACTTTGTCGCATTGGGGGATCCTTAAGATATCCTCTATCTCAATTAAATCCCCATCAATACAAAAGAAAGAAGAAAAAAAAGGATTACAAAAGTATATGGTGGGCCTACTTAGTTGCTATTAAAATCAAACCTCCACATTTTAATTCTCACTAATCCGCATGCTCACGCTAGCTAACAGTAAAATGAAATGTTATAGAACTCTTCGATGAAAGGCTTTGAAAACTCAAAGATTCATCAGATCTTTCGAAGGAAAAGTGTGTTAAATCTTAAATTTTGCCCATAGAGCAGGGATGTTGTCACTCACTTTACTTGATTAGCATCGTGTTTCATTGGAAGCCTTCATCTTTTGTGTGAGTTTGTCTACCTGTTTGAATGTATGTACGTGCGAGTTTGTGTACATGTATTCTTGTCTGTCTCGATATAGATGTGTTTTTTTTCCTTTTCATGTGTTGTGATCATCTTTTAATTTCTCTTTAATGACTTCTTACATTCACTTGTGAACTTTGTTTTCATGCCCGCTGTAAAGCAATTTGGTACAAACCATGTTTGCTCTTAAAT